TGCTATAGACAACATAGGTGTTCAATCCTGTGGAGGAAGAGAAAGTGCCTCGGCTTGCTCATAAAAGATGCTTGATTCTCACACCGCCCGTCAAGGTTCAAAGTGTCCACAAGCGCACTTGCAATCCTGCACACTTCCTGTCAAAACACAAATGCAGGAAGAGGATTTCCTACAAGAGCGAGAGTGAGTTTCTTAAGGAAAGAAAGGCAGGAGGAAGAGTTGCTGGTGTAAAAACAATGGTGAAGTGAGATGTGGCGTTCTGGTGATTGTGGAGGGCATGAAGGGTCAATAACAGTTCCCAAAGTAGGAAGGTGTTTTTTTTTTTTTTTTTTCATCTTCCAGAAGTAGAGCAACTGCATTCTGATGAGATATTACTACAACATGCACACATCAAAACTATGGCACACATATGAATTATTCATATTTCCTGTATAATGAGTCCATTTTAAATAAAACATTGGGAGAATCTGGGTTTATCAAAATAATAAATTACTGTAAACATGTGCCACATTAAAAGAAAACAAAAAATGTGTGTCATAATTAGATATAGGGATCATAAGGAATTAAAGATTCTGGTTTAGATTTGATTAAATGAATGAATCTTTTAGTAATTCAATGAAGCTCCTCTTCCCATGCCTGCCAAAACTGGATCTGGCTAGATAATAAACAAAATCTCTAAGTATCCTTCACGAAACGAAAACTTAGTTCAAAATATCTTTAACTATGAGTTTCCTATATGAACAACCAGTCAGTAATGCTGGTTTTAGACAGTCTTACAAAACATATACACAAAGCACAGTAACAAGTCTCAAATAAATAGTTCAAAATGATGTGCCATGATCTGCAGTTCAGTTAGCAAATGGATAACTCATGAATTTGAGAAAAAATTTGATGAATTCATTAAAAAAAATATATAATTTGTTGACTAATCTGATTAACTTTCACTAGTCAATTTGTTGACTAATGGTTGTGTTGCATGATTGTTGAGTGCAAACAGTGAGGACATTGCAATAGAAAAAAAAAGAAGAAAAAAATTTAAAACACTTTAACACAACTGACCACCTGCCTCCAGCACTTAAAGTGGTGATGAACTGAGAAATCAAATTTTCCTTGAGCTTTTGATGTCTAAGAAGTCATCATATTATAAGAATATCCTGTAAGTTTCAGAACTAAAAACATCCTTGTTATTCCAATAAAAGCTTTTATTGACACCAGGCTCAGCAAACGACTCATTTATCAAAGTGGGGAACTATGACGTCAAAGAGGATAAAACACCACCCCCGCAGAAGAAGATCAACGCCTACTTCAACACGGCCGGTTTAACCCCACCCACCGATTCGCGCATCACACGCATAGCTAAAGAACATAGGCCTACCTCGTGATGACAATCCGAATCCAGCTACCAAGCAATAAACATGACGTTTACAAAATATTGTGCAGTGCCTGGTTGTGGAAGAAGACAGTCGCAGCATGCGGGAGTGAGTTAAACTCATTATAATATGCAAAACTGTTCTCCACTCACAGCATTGGGCGTTTACTTCCAAGTCTTCAATGCGAGACGCCCATAAAAACCGAGCGTTTTTGAGCTAGACTCAAAACTAGGGTAGAAAAGAGCCTATTACATATTCATTTTGATGTTTTTGAATGTAAAAACCAAGAGAAAGTCATAAGTTGACCTCAGACAACTATAAAAAGAAAATGTAAAAAGCCAGTTCATGACCCCTTTAAAAAAAATACCTATCTAAATGATTCTTGATTCACAACTCTAGCCATAACAGGGCAAAGTTGAAGTGTTTTGCTCAGGAGAAAGAAAGTTCCAGGTGTAAAAGTTAAAGATCAAACCTGAAAAGTCACTGGATGGGACACTGGCTTAACGGTCAACTTCTATTACCATGTATGCATGGAAATCTACAACAAAACTGCTGAAGAGTGAATATGAGCAAGAGAGAAAAGAGGGATAAAAAGACAGCGAGATCAAAGAACTGCAAGGTTTCTGCAAGGTACACCGCTCCTGGCTGATAGCCATCCATCTGGACCCGACGCCCCGCTGTTCACGTTTGAAACGTCCGCGTGGCTTAAACCATCAGCTCTATCATAACTGTCATAACAGCAATGACGGAGCTGGTGTCATAACAGTCAACTGTCGTTTATGCAAATAGGAGGTTCAGCAGGACAGAAATACTAATCATTTTCTTGAAAACAAAGCATGTTTAGTGATATTTCTCCACAGCAATACAACATATGTGTGACAGTATAAACCCCTGAGGGCCATAAAACAGATATGACGTGTGCGCTTTATTCCGAGTCTTCTGAAGCCATTCGATAGCTTTGAATGTGTCTGAGTTTACAGTGGTGTAAATCTTTTTAAGTGCAGGCCTTTTGTGTCTCTGTGATGCCATATACTGCAGCAGCAGAAGCCATCACTGAGGACAGCTCTAAAAATAGAGCCGCCGACTCTTCACAAGAACACCTGACAAGACTCCCTCTCACACTCCTTTCCAGTCTCTAACGCACACGATCACACTTTCCATCTCCCAATCGCTTTGTTTCACTCCTCACTGAATCTAATTACGGCAAAACAAGTATCAGCTCAGCGGCAGCAAAGTCTACCCATCAGCAGTCCTCATCAGGCCTAGGGCGTCGAATAACATGCTAAAACACATTAAAGAACAAATATCTTACATGCACCCCTGTTTGTGCTGGGAAAAGGCTGAGTGCAGCAAAATAAGCCTAGCTACTACATCCTAAATTGCTGTTGATGTTTTACATAAATAATGGGACAGACAAGGCAAATAATACAAATAATCGAACATTTAATTGTGCATAGTTAGGATAGCAAAGTAAATCAAATCAGAATCAAATGGCTTTGGTTATTGATGTCAAAAGCATGTTTTTTTTTTTTTGGTTTTTTTTTTGGCACATGGCTGATGATTTAAATTGTAAAACAGTAATATATCGGTAGCTAAAACCAATCCAATATTTGACCCAGATTTTGTTGAATCAATACTTGGTGCATTTGTTGTTGTTTTTCACAAAACAGTCAGTGTCCAATTCAGACTATGTCATGTTATTATTATTATTAATTTAGTATATTCTTGTGCCTATTATTATTAAATGCATTTTCATAAAATGTTTATATACATTTTTATATATATTATATTATGGTCTGTCTGAATGCGCTGTTTTTTTAAGCACGTACTGCACACACACACACACACGTCACTCGTACACAGAGAGTGGAGATCGCGTTGTGCACACACAACTAGGGTTACCAACTGTCCCGAATTAGCCGGGATGTCCCGATTATTGGGCCTAATTTATTTGTCCCGTTCGGGACCTCCCTTGTCCCGTTTAGGTCGCTCCCGGTTTCGATCCAGTCTCACGCTAACGGCAAATCCCTTTCATTGTCCGGCCAGGTTCAAATTTCGGCAAATCAGTTTTGGTGAATTTAAACAATGTGATTGTTCATGAGTCCAACATCCAACCACACGAGAAAACATGAAATCTTCCTGAGGGAATGATGCGAGTTCCTGCCCAAGAAACATGTCTGATTATTAATGTTTAAAAAAAAAAAAGAAGTCAGGATTATTCGATGAATAGCTTTAGTAATATTATAAATGTCTTTGTCACTTGATTAATTTAATGCATCCTTGCTGAATAAAAGTAGGCTATTACTTTCTTTATTTGTATTAAAATGCAGTGTAAAATGTTACAAAAGCTTTCCATTTCAGATAAATGCTATTATATTGAACTATGTTTGTGAGTAATGTGACTTTTTTGAGTGACCTTAAAATTCATACGCATACGAACCTGAAATGACATACTGTGTGATAGAGTACAAATATTTTGAGTTATTTGGAAACACAGCACCGCAACTTTTAGTAAAAGCTTTGCTACTGAATCGCTACATTATGTTTCTCTGCAACGAAGGGGTTCCATTGCAATTTTGAAGTAATTCAACTCACAGCTTTATTGTTAATAGACAGAGATTAACAACTATCAATAATTAATTCAACTAAATGCTAGAATTCATTCATTCAAATAAACGTAATCTTACGCACTACTTTATCTCTGTGTCTGATTCAAAGCGTCCAGAATGCTAGATCTAATAAGCCGTAACTGGAAATAACCGTCAATTTTACCCTTCCCGTCATATATTGCGCTAGAGCCTGCATTTAAACAATTTTTAATGCACTTTGCAGAGACAACCACCATCTGCTTCCCGTCACGCAGTTCTCAGCCTCCGCGTTATTAGCCGAGGATGATATCTTATTTATTATATTATATTATTATAAAGAATTATACATTAATTAAGTGTTTGATTTTAAGGATTTGATTCCACAATTTGTTTAGTTACTGTTCTGGGTCGCCACTTGATGTCCAATGTATAATCGGTGTCTTCAAGCAAATCTAGTTGATAAACTAATATAATATGTTGGTTCTGAACGAGTAACCCTAAACCAGTACATATTCATGTAGCACAAGTGGTCCTGGATGAGTTGATACCTCAAACTGTGCAGGTTATTGAGAAAAGGTATACGATTACAGGCTTAAATTAATACAATTATTAACAAACAAAAAAACTAAAAAACTAAACAATGAGGTACCCCAAACTACATCTAGAAACCAGAAGATTACAGAGACTTTTGACTTGGTCCAGTAAGCAACCACCAAGCAGTCAATCAGAACACCTTTACAACTGTTTAACACATTCACTGAATCATCATAGCAATGCCTCAGGAACACCAGCAGCAAGTGACACTCAAACAATATAAAATCTAAATTGTTATCTCCGTTTGCAACCTGGAAGCTTGCAGTATAGATTCACCACATTCATTTGGCAACAAAAATACACACAAAACATCTACACAAATAATCCTTATTGTCACAAGGTCATAAACTCATCACACATACAGTATATAACCCACAATTACATATAATTCACAGCTTATTAAGGAAGTGACACACAATGAAACAGAAACAGTGAATGTGTACGATACCTGAGCCTTAACGCATTCCTGTGGAGGAGCCAGTATGAGGAGAGAAGCAGAGAAGAGGAGAGTTATTACCAGGGTTATTGAGGAACAGAGCAGGCTCAGAGAAACCGTTAAGCACTTTGCAAGTCATACTACGGGAAGAAGAGAGGGACACATCCTTTATAAAAGCTCAGACACTATCAAAAAACAACAGAGGGTAGTGAACACACACACACATACACACACAGCCGAGAAACACGAGGCGGATGCTGAAATAAAAAGCCACAAAGCTAAAATAAGGAACGCAGACATTTTAGGTGAACGGAAAGGCTGATAATTATGCAACCAAATACAAAAGATGAGAGGTCGTTTAGTTATTGAACAACTGAAATGCAATGATCAGCAAACCAAGAGGCGCAAAAGAGGAAAAACCTGGTATTCATTGACTGAACAAGGGTCTCGTGATCATTAAAGACCAGCTGCCCCACAGTACGGGAGAGGAAGGGAAAAAGACAGATTTATATAGAGAGACAAAATGGTACCCAGTGTGAGCCAAAAACAAGGCATTCACTGTTCGCTAGTCTTAAAGTCACTATTGACAGACAATCTGATTTTATTTAAAGATTGAATGAAATGGCTTGACAGGAACAGTTTTTCATTCCCCTATGGAAAATGGAAAATTGGGTAGTTTTTTTTTTTTTTTTTTTTTTTTAAATAAGTATTCAATTTCATCACAGTTTTTAACCATCTTTTAGTACTTGCTACACTAGATGAAGATTGAAAAAGACTACATTTTTATTTTAAGTATACAGATGATCTCACAACTATGAACTAAAAACCATGGGTGGTTTGTTTACAATACAAATGTAAGTGTGATACAAGAGTAAATTCAACAAATTCCCTCAGTATCTGTTATAACCTGTGATTTTCAGAATAAATAAATTAATGAAATAATAATTTTATGCATACGTGTTCACGTATTGCTGGGTTCTCACTTCAAAACAACACAAAAATGCAACAAAATATCAAATTACATTTCTCAATCCCTCTTTTTCATGAAATCATTATAATCACTACACTAAATTATGAAAAATAAAATAAAAAATGCATTGCAATGAAAATTAAAGGAGTAGTTCACTTTTCAAAAAAAATTTGCTGATAATTTACTCACCCCCATGTCATCTAAGATGTCCATGTCATTCTTTCTTCAATCGAAAAGAAATTAAGGTTTTTGATGAAAACATTCCAGCATTTATCTCCATAAAATGTACATCAGTGGGAACCAAACGGTTCAAGGTCCAAAAGACAGTTTCAGTGCAAACTGCAAACTGTTCAAAGGGCTTTAAACGATTCCAGACGATGAATAAGGGTCTTATCAAGTGAAACGATCGCTCATTTACGAAAAACGAATCTTTTTCCAAGTCAATTCGTTCGTTTCGTTTTTTCAAAAGTGAACTACTCCTTTAAAATTGGGACGGTATAATAAGCTATTATATAATAGTGTGGAACTTAATAGTGTGTAATGTTGTTGATAGTCAAATATGTTGCTTAGCCTCCAAATCCAATATGACAAATCCAATATCCAATATGCCTCCAAATCCAATATGAAAAATCTGAATTATGTCTCAGGGCAAAGAATCTTAGAGACGAGTTCAACTGTGTGAGGCGAGCAGCACAGAGTACAATTATTTCACTCTGGTGCCAGAAATCGCATCAAATTAATGCCAGTAAGAGAGTCTCTACAAGGTTATGTGAGATACATAAGGCTGATACATGATGTAATGATTTGGAAGTGAATTTTCACCTTCCGCTATGTGCGAGTATGGAAATCCCAAAGTGGAAGCACTCAAAAACTCACAGATTAGCTGGAATCCCAGTCCCCATGCGCCCCTCTTGAAGACATACTGTGAACTTTCTTAGCCTGCCACCACTGATCTGAGAACGAAAACACGGTCCAAACTTCTTCCCACGGACCATAACAACAAAACAGGGAGCTGTTTGGGGAAAACTGTGCAGCTGAGTAGATACAATGGTGGGAATAACTTTGGTGTCCCGTTCTAAAGTATCTCAAGGGAAAAACAATTTAGCTCAATGATGCCTGACGTATTTTCTTGTACCAAACAAAACAAGAATTTCCAAACAAGCTGAGGGAACACTGGCTTCTCTCTCAGGGGAATTGGAGGAATGCTGGGAATGAACTGCAGTAGAATTGGGGGAGACAAATCAGGAATGTGTCTACATGATGGTCCAGCTTTGAACCTCCATGAAACATCAGTGTCAAAAATTCCCAAGATTAATGCCTAAAGTGTTTTGAAAGCGGAGCGGCACTCTCAAATCTGCTGGAGATTTAGTAGAATAAAATACAACCCTGTTATTTGTTCCGAAGGAAAGACATAAAAAAAAGCCCTGTTCTCCTTACAACCTGCTATCAACGTGGCATCCATCCTTTAAAATCACCACGAAATCAAAACTCACCTGAATAACATCCTATATAAATGTTCCTTATTGTGAATGATTCATCAGTGCATATGTTGCTCCAAAGAAAAGAAAAAAGAAATGAATTAATAAATAAATGAATGCATATAAAAGTATGCCTTTGTAATCTGTCATGCCATCAAAATAAAATAAAATAATACAAATTAAAATAAATCAGGCCATTTTCTAAATCTTGACAATACTTCATTTTTTGCTGATTAATGTAATGTAACAGCAAATAATATATAATACATTTGCAAAAAGAAGTGAAACAGAAACCTGTCCCTCAACTTCAAAAAGCCTCAAAAATGTGTGCAAGCCAAGGAGGTAGTTTCATTTGTTCTCCATAATCTTGCATATGTGATCATTTTAAGAATTAACTACTGAAAGACCCATTACAGTTGACAATTAATTTATTGGATATCGGAACCCAATATCAGATCTATACAAATGTAAAAGCATAAAGTATATATGATTTTTCCCCCTTTCTCTCTGCTCTGTCTCTTTCCTCTACTCGACTGGGGCTTGATGATGTTGTACAGAATATCACACATCCAGATGGTAGCACTGCAGTGGATTCTCACTTCAGCCTGCCCAGAGCACAGTGGGGATTGAGCACATAAAACACCAGCACACGACATAGTGGACACATAGGCAGAACACCTACAGAGAACCCATATTACAGCCACCATGGCACAAGTAAAATGAGCGAGTATAATGGAAAAGTAAAGCATCTTCCACATACAGGCACAAACAATGCGAGTTGCTGCAAAAGAACTTTTAAGAAACTGAGGGAATGGTCCAAAAGTAAGGGCCCTTTCACACCTACACTGTTTGGTCCGGACTTTCTGACTTGTCAGTTTTGTCCGAATCAAAATTATAGGTGTGAAAAACCGGGCCGGACTAAACCGATGAAATTTGGTCCGACGAAAAGAGGTAGTCTTGGTCCGGATCAAACTGAAATTCGTTTATAGTGTGAAAGCATTTATGTAGAGTTCGGACTTTAGACCTTTTGGTGGTTCCCAAAAAGCCAAAAAAAAAAAAAAAAAAAACAGAAGGTGGCAGGAGAAATGAGCTGTGTTGCACATGGGGAGATGAGGATACAAGGTTTTTAATTAAAGTATGGTCTGATGACACAATAAGAAGTCAACTTGCAGTCTTCTCCTCCTTTCCTGCCGGCGACGATAAAATAATCACACGATGAGGACGTTCATTTGGCAAATTTGAACTAGCCTTGTGTATAGTTGGTGCTGAAGGTAATTATGCCATAAAAATAACAATATACTTGCAACAATATGCGTCTGTTCATTTATGTTGTCAAAGTTAACCGCCGAATTGACAACACGCTGACGTCAGACGCACGATGCAGCCCACATAGATAATGACGACAAGACGTAAGTATTTCGCGTAAAGTTCTACAGTACAGTGTGCTCGCATTATTGCAGTGTGACCAAACCAAAACTTTCTGAAAGTATAAAATGTATCAAAACATGAACTTTGGTTCGGACTTTCAGGTGTGAAAACGCCCTAAGAACGAATAGGAGGGTGGGATTTGACACATTTGAACAAAGATGCTATTCCTATTTTACTGCTCGAAGCAGCAGAAATGAGCCGAAGAAAGCGTCTGAAAATCGCACCGCCTATTTTTACATCATAATGAGCTGGCGCAACTCTGTTTATTCGATCTGAGTTTAGTTAGCCTGTCACCACGGCCTTATGAGATAATGTGTGAATTTGCTGTAGCTTTTAAGCGTTCATTTTCTCTATGCTACAATAACGTCTCATCTGCTTAATATGTATAGACAACTAAAGCATAAATATTACTTTATCTCTGTTACACTGTTTGTTTGAGAATTCTGACCAGTCTAGCACAGCAACATTGGCTCAACCAATGTTACAAGGTTGGGGGTGGAGCTATGAGTTTGACCAATGGCACATGGCAGACCGAGGGAGTTTCTGTTACCAGTTTGGAGCCTGTCATTGGCTGCATCCGAAATGCATACTATGCCAAGTGTATAGAATAAGCCAATGTGAAAAAAGTAATATCTGCAGTTTTGCACACTTGGCAGATACCATTGTAAGTGCACTGCAAGTAAATACATTATCTGTTTCTTTTTGCAAACTGAGGGTGGTAAATCTGTCATAGATGCAGTCAATAGAACTTAACTTAATATTCCTTTAAGGTAAAAATAATTGAACAAAACCCCATGAGGATGGGGAAGCACTAGCTAAATTAACAGATTCTTACAGTAACAACAGAATAAATGCAAATATATTAGCGGAGACAAGTTCATAGGAAGGAGACAGAGAACTTGTTACTTCCACATTTGTAATACGAGGAAAGAGAAGTCATTATGGTTACCAAAAAGAGTGCCAACAGACTTCCAGAAAACTATAGATTTACAAAATATCCCTGTAGTTTTGTGAGAGGAACATTGGTATGTGTACCTGACGCACTGAACAGCCTATGCTATAGAAATATGCGAATACGTGATCATATTTTACACCAGAGGTCAAATACATTGAATAATACCAGTCAACATCATGCATAGACAGAGCAGGGCGGTATGATGATACATTATATATCATGCAATGGTAATAATGCATCAAGCGGTAGAGATTTTCCAGCACCATTAATACACTGTAGATATATTAGCGTCGCTATTTGCATTATTTCACCAAAAAAAAAGCTATTTTACAGCTTCAAATGTGACTCAATCAGCCATAATTAAGACTGTAACATTCTAATAAAAATAAATATTGAAACGTAGTTCATAAAATGTGAAGCTGTAGTGCACTAGTGATTGTTTGCATCCAAATAAAAACACTTTTATCCCCAAAAACTTAATTCACGGGATAATCAAAAATAAAAAATAAATAAAAAAAATTAACCTTTTTTTCAACAAAAACAAAATCTAAAATCACTGTTACTGAAGCTGATTTTGATCATACCGCCCATCCCTATGTATAGAGAAAAAACAAGCATTTGCAATGACACATTTACCAGCATGTAAGCAAGCACGAAAGCTAAGCCAGACAGGAACAGGAACACCAACAGTCATACAGGGGGAGGGGCAAAGGAGACTCTGTACAGGTAAAGTTAAAGCATATGTCTGACCGTATGGTATCCCCGCGCTACGGGCAGCTTGCCGGCAGGATAGGGGTCTACGGTGTCAATGATGGTCTGCCGCTCGCCCTTCTGGTTGATCTTGCGAAATCTTCGGCGGGACTGTCGGTGCGATGCCTGCCGCTGGAAATACTCCTCATTCTCATCCATATAGTCCACCTGCAAACGGAGGAGACATTTGAGTGAGACTCTCTCTCTCCCCACACCACCCCCCCATCCCCTCCCGCCTCTCTTACTGGCGCTGTGTAAAAATAGCAGTGGGTGTGCGAGCCTGTGTGTGTGTGTGGGGGGGGGGGGGGGGGGCTGAGCCTCCAACACCTACGTCAAAGAGAGGCATACAACAGACAGAAAGGTAGAAAAAGGGAGATGTAGTTTCACAGCAGCATCTTGCGACAGTCTTTCAGTGGTGAATTGTGCATGTTATGCGCTTTCTACGGCATTAAACTAGAAATGAGTTCAAATGGCAATAATAATTCCAGATCACTGTTTATTCACCATATTTGCTGTGGCACCAGGAAATGTCATTGAAGGGGTGGTGTAAACTGACCATCGCAGGTCTTTGAATGGCAGTAAATGAGTGTGGCATCATCATACACATTAAGGATATAAGTTGCATGTAAAACTGGCCGGCCACTGTGACATTATGCCATGAAAAGTGACATGATTATCCCTCTGTCTTATTTTGCTGCAGCCTCAGATTTCACACCCACTCTGCCTTTGGGATTACACATCAAATCTCTCGCTACCGTACCAACTGCTGCTATGGCAACTGCCGGAGAGAGCGAAGCAGTGAGAATATTGGGCGGTGTGAGCAAGTGAGAGTGCAGTATCTATATCCTGCCTCAGCCTGTAATTACAGGGCAGCAATGGCCGGTAATAACAGACGAGATACCCGACGAGGGCACAATCAACTGTCGAGGACAGTTGCCATCGCCCAAACCGAAGATTATGCTTATGCATTTGGCAGAAGCTTTTTTGCATTCCTCCCTGGGAATGCAACCTGTGACCTTGATGTTGCTAGTGTCATATATATACACTCTACTAGGGCTGCACGATATTAAAAAAATGACGATATTTTGTTTTTCTGCGATATGAATACAATTTCACCATATGACTTGAATAGCTCTATTAGGAAAACATTAATCATTCTACAATGATTGGGGTGATTTTGTAGGGCAGTGAATCTGCATAGAAAATAATAAACAAATTACAATTATAGGTCAATACAGTGCAACAAAGATAAAAAATGAAATAAACAATGCTTTAAATATGTAGGTACTTCTAACAGCAAGGCACAGAAAATAATACTGTATAGTCTTCACTGCATAAAATAAATGCAATCCATCTTTGTTAAAGCCATAAAAGTGATTTTCTCTTTGTATTTAGTTTTTTTAATTAAGATTAATGACACAGACAGCAACAGGAATATTAGGCTGCTGTCACTTTAAGACCGAACACACGGATCCAGTATAATGACATATATCTCAATTGTTTACATTCACATAAGCGAATGTGTTTGAGTGTATGTGTCCATAAAGTGTATGTGTCCATTCAAGCACAAATAGATGGAGACGAGAACAGAATAGGTCAAAATACTGTGATACTATTTCAGTATTCTTTGATGAAAGAAAGTTCAAGAGAACAGCATTATTAATGTCTTTACTGTTCGTTTTGATCAAATTAACGCATCTTTGCTAAATTAAAGTATTAATTTCATTAAAAAAAATCTTACTGACTTGAACAGTAGTGCACTCAACATGAAGAAACACACAGAAGCCTATTAAGTTGCAGTCACATGTAGGCGCATTTCCATGAGCTTAACCAAATCCGAGACTGCAGTTGCTGATATGGAGGGTCTCTCTGTACTTGTGAAAGTACATCATGAAGTGAATATGGAACATATCAGAGTGCATGGAAGGGCTTGGGTTCCTAAATATAATACATTTTTTGGCATGGCGAGAGCAATCAAATGGAGGCCATGTTGAAAATGACCCGCAGTGGGCAATTTGCTTGTGGTAAAATGTAAACAAAATGGCAAATTCAAACCAAACCAAATTTTATATGACATTTATGATTAGAGCAGTGGTTCCCAAACTTAACTTTAGTCTGACTCACCCTTCTACAAATATTATATAAACAAATACTGTATAACATAGTTGTCCCTAAAAAGTCTACACTAAGTGTTGTAGCTTGTGTTCAGACAATATTGAATACTAAGAATTTTAATTCATTAAAAATGTTAATAATAATGAATTATGTATAAAGTTAAAGCTAATGATGGCAAAAAGACACAGAGTCACAAAACCTTTTAAATCAGGCTAATTTTAGGTTAGCCTATCCCTTGAAGTGGGCATATACACAAGACATGTTTAACTTTTCAGTATGTTTTAGTGTGCAATCTGTCTCAAAGATCAAGCAATATGCTAATTAAAGCATAAAAATCATAAAAACATCTAGCATAAAAAAATAAGACCATCTTGGACAGCTGGTCGACCATTATGACCCATTCCTAATTACAACCAGCACATTTTCTTTGGAAAATAGTTTTTAGCCAATTGTTATCGGCCTGTGTAATGTCAAATCTGACCTTGTATGTACCCCTGGGGGTAAGCGTAGCATACTGTGAGAACCACTTGGGAAGAGGAATGAAATTGCAGCACAAAACTGCAATTACACAGTGTGATTAGTAAGAGTATTGGGTTAAGATGATTATCTGGTCCATGATTACTCACCACAATCATCTCGGATGGCTCCAGCACGATGCACTCGCATCCACGACGTAAACTCCCAGCAGACCTCTTCCCAAAGCTAGAGGAGAAGAACAGGAGAGACAGAAAGGTTATATACCACTCAACCAATTATGGAATCCTAAGATTCTGTGGGAATGAAAGCGTGCTTAGAATCCGAGCCAGAGGAACACATATCCAAACACTTGTGGCAGTGTTCCTGGCCTAGGCAGTGAGGCTCCACTGGGAAAGAAAGTACGACCAGACTGGAAAAGTCCACAGGATGACATCATGGCCATATGAAAGAAGTACAGTGCAAAGTGATGGAGTGTGTGTGAGTAGCAACACAAAAAACTCTATTGAAAATTGAAGAAGGGGACCATGGAAACGTGAGGTACAGTTCCATGCAGGATGAAGGTAAATACGCAGATTTTTTTTTAAATCATCTGCACTGAACCTGTTATTGTCGAGTTAAAATTCAGAGACTAGTATTTCCCAATCCCTCTTCTTCACACAATAATTTACTGTCATCAATACAATATATAATGAAAAAGGCAAAAATAATTAAAACAGAATAATTAAAATAAATAGGAAAAAGTATAGTTTTTTTAATTAAATTCCTATTTTGTAAAATTGATTGAAGGTAACATGTGCCACTAGTGGAACCAAACAAAACTGTAATCTGTTTGTTTAAAGTGCCACTATTATCCAATTTTAAAGGTTCCTAATTTTGTTTTGGAGGTCTCAAACAATTATCTCATAATATGCATTGAACATGACCTCATTTCTTAGAAAACGGTTCTATCCCAGATTCACGCTGCATCCCAATTCTGCTATTTATACTATGCCCTAAAAGTATGTACTGTTTTTGTGAAGAAAAAGTACATACTTTTGAGTGAGTAGCAGAATAGTAGGCAAGCTTCAGGACACAGTACTTCATAAACCTGGTGTCTTTAACTGACAGCTCTGTTGCTTAGTTACATACATCTTGTCACCGTTTAATCTGCCCTGTCAAACATCATGTCACAGTTAAAAACCTCCAGAATTATTTTATTAATTTCCTACCGTTTCGGAGAGAAATCTAGTAGCACGTCTAAATATATCGTCTATACACGAAATATATCTGTTAGTCGTGTGTCTTTCATGCCGAGACTCGCCTAATGTGTTTGCAATTTGCATAATGATGAATTTAAAAGTTATTGAACAAACGCATCTTTAAAAAGTTCACAATTGCAGATGAAATATATTGTGGATAAAATTGAATAAATATGTTTTCGTCAGGTAAAAACTGATAATTAATTACTCAAACCCCTTTACCAAAACCTCCCTGCTTCAGTTCGTAGGACTCGAACATCCGTGTTTTTGTTTTGTTTTGTTTTTAAAGCTTTTTAGTTGTGTTGTAGTTCTAATCTTTGGATTCTAAAGTAGACTGGCTATCTTTGGAATTCTTATTTCAAAATGCTATTATTAGGAACACACTAATTCTAATTTCAAATATTTTTAAGATGGATATAGTATGCGAATTGGGACGCAGCATCAGTCAGTCTCTCTAAACCCCTCCTTTTTGAGAGCCTACTCTGCTCTGATTGGTCGTAATGGCTCAGTCTGTTCGGTCTCCCGCTTACAGCACATCAGAAACGAAACGTCTTTTAACATATATGAATTTCAGCACAAAAGGCTTCCTCGGCAGCTGATACACATCAGTTCTAGCACAAGTCATCATCTTTTTAAAGTTCATGCAAAGTGGATTTGCATTTCTGAAAAAAGCATTTTCTCAACATGTCAAAAACACAAAGAAATATTACATTGTTACATAGGTATGTAACTGGAAGTGAGACTGAAATTGCAGACAACTCATCTCGGCAGTTCAGAATCGATTCTTTCTCTTTTTTTTTTTGTTTGTTTTTTTTCATATTAAACTAGGTTACTCCCTCAACTAAAGACGAGTTGATTCATACCTCTCTCATTTCAGTGTGTGCACTTAATCGACTCCGAGAGGGAGAGGACTTTTCACAAGTGATGATATTACTGCGCCGAGTCGAAGTGCTCCCAAGCACTTGCTGTGGTATTCTGCCATACATTATATTTTTCCACTTTACACATTTAGAAAAGCACAATGTTTTATTTTGTCACCATTCTTGGTTGAGTTACACTACTCGTGTAACTGTATTTAAATAGGAAAACGTGGAGGTGTTTGGTCGCTTCTCTGCTTGGCCCATATTGAATGAATTGGGCTAGTTATGTGCCATCTAAGTGCCAGAGCGATTAAGTGCACGCACTGAGACGAGAGAGGTATGTATCAACTCGTCTTAGTTAAGGGAATAACATAGTTTAATATGAAAAAAATGGTGGAGTATCCCTTTAAGAGACTTTATTTGTCCTGCATTTAGCTCTTTGCAATTTTTTTTTTTTTTAAAGGGGGCAAGATTTTAAACACAATTTAAGAGTTTAGGGTGGGTCTAGCTATTTGGCTAAACAATAGAAGATAGGTGGGACAATTGAAATATATACATATTCAATTCTGTTTGATGCTGTTTGTAATATTACATACTTCATCTTTCATCTGGTTTGTTAATTGACCATCAATGCTGCTTACGAGACACTTTTTGCAGCTGAATGAGCTGCCACTCTGGTCCAAAGCTGACACACACTTACACATACACATAAGTAGAAAGAGAAACCGCTGTTCAACTGCCAGCAAAACCTCTACATACACTTCAGAAAACTGCGACCGACAAAGCAAGGCTGATTTTACCATGGAAACACGGCACTATGTGAATACCTTACAAAGACAATTGTCAGCATGACAGCATTATAATTACATTTAATTAATAACAGTATGTCAAGATTTCAACACAAGTGAAAACTTTAACCAACATTTGATTTTTGTCACAACAAGCCTTTGGGTAATGCACTACACAGTTGAATAGCTAATTGTATACTGGTTACTGTAGAGGCGCAGCTGGCAGATATAGTAACTAGCTAATATAGTTAGACTAACAGGTGGGGATTCCCACTACATTTATTGTTTCTTAGCTTAAGACCACACACAATGAGTTCTCTGTGTTGAAATGTTTTTTGACTTCCCTTGTAGGCTCCTATCCAAATACAAAACCTCAAGATTTGGTATTTTCATTCATCGCTCATGATATACAGTAGCTATTATCTGAAACCACAAAGAGAATTTCATGGATTCCAAGTATAACTTAAACTGCAAAAATGCAATATGAAAAGAAAAATGGAATACAGAAGCATTTGTAGATGTTTCAAGGTGAATATTGGAAAAATATTTGCCTTGAGCAGAACCAAATGAAAAGAGAAGGGTGGAAAAAGCTCTGACAAACTCTAAAAACAAATTCGCAAAAAAATGTAAAAATGATATTAACACCAAACACTTGTTAATAAATCATATTAACGTCAGCCTTCATGCTACATGCCTTGGGAATTTAACTCATGCCCACCCAGTCTTAGATTCCATATTACACAACATTCCGGGTGTCTGGAATGTGATTCTGTGACGAACGCGGCAGGCACTCACACCCAGCAAAGAACACAGGGGTTTCCAAAGTAAATAAGCCCCTTTTCATCTCTCCATATTAAGCTGAGAAAAGATTAAAGAGCTGTTATGCAAGTGCTGTCGGTGGGCAAGTCAGAGGGGAGAAGGGGGTACATTGGAAGGTTTGAGGACTGCTGATGTACAGTAGAATGGATAATTCAATAACAGGATTCTACTGCAACGCTTCAGTGAGTGCTAAACAGCTGTGCCGGCTCTCAGATCTGCGCTTGCAGACACAAGGCAACATAAAGTAGTGCAAAGCAGCATTTCACGAGCAACCCTGAACTGTTACTAAATACGATTCTGGGACCGAAAAACTTAATGCACGCTTAGCAAAGCTTGACACTTGAGGTATCATTACTTGCATTTTATATTAGTAAAATATAAACAAAAAATAGAAATATAAACAACATACACTAAAAATAAAAATTACCTTTAGACAAGTATTTGATGGGAAGTATGTTTATAGAATATATTTACAGACATGTATTTAAGTGATCTAATAATATACAGCCAATATGTAAAAACAAAAACAACATACTGTACCTGTAGATGAGAGAGAGCAGTTACAAAATTGGTCCAATGAAATCCATGAACAATCCAGACTACTTTAAAATCATGCATTCATTCTCATACTTCTTCCTCAAATGTGTTTTTAATGTTCTTGCTTAATATCCATACACACACGCTGCTACCACACTAAACAGAAACGTGATTTCGTGAGCGCCACATGATAATCCAACTTCACGTATGCTGCCCTGCGAGAACTCTGTTCTGACAGCTCCGTCTGCCGCCTTCATCTTACAAGAGCGTGTGTGTTGGGGAATGTGCGCTCTTGAGAGTTAGCGGTGTTCGACCAAAGCCAACATTCCTGCCTGCCTCTTACTTCCTGTGGAGCCAAAAGGGAGTGGTTGACCTCTATCCACAAACATCGTGACCTCTTAACCTAAACTCATAACCTGTACCGACTTAAGGCTTGAGACTACAATCAAAGTCAACCAGGGAAAATTTTGGGTCTCGTTTCAATTTTAATGATTCCAAATGCAATTCTACTTATTGATTTTGATTCTTATCGCTACCTAATTTCATTTCCAATGAAGTAAGAAACAAACAAACATGGATGTCATTCACATTCTAAGTCTTGTAGCAAAACATTTCATTTTAGCTGAATACCATGAACAAAAATCTACAGGCCAAAGAACACTTACACAAGCGACTTTTGTCTAAATGGTTTAAAAAATACCATAGCAAAAACAATTAACCCTTAGGGGTCCAACGTGTCTTTGAGATGTTTTGACATGCCCTGACATCCCCAGACATTTGTGCTGTTTTCAGTAGCTTATATATTAGTGACAAAGGTGTCATTACACTCTATTCAGCACAAACAGGGCTATATAATATGTGAGCAACATGTATGTATATGATTGTATTGTATTTTTGAGAGAATAATGTGTATGCAAGTTTCTAAGTTGAGGCCACAAAACACATACCAAATATGTGTCCACCAGACTTTTGACTAATGGATGTTGTCACCTAGAGTTTTTGCTTCAGACGATCTGAAAATCATCCTGGCTAATCATTCACAGAAATGTTTAAGTTTAGAGGCGTGCTCCAGAATATATATATATATATATATATATATATATATATATATATATATATATATAAGTACAATGTTTAGTTTCAATTGTAAGTGGACACATAAAAAAGTAGACATTTTACAGTTTTTTTTTTATATTTCTTATTTTTTTAATATATATATTTTTTTTATATTTTGTATGACAATAAAAGATGGACAATTTATTTTAAGTCTATTTTGCTGCTATGTGAAGAAAATCCAGCAAAACACATCCTTTTTCAAAAAGAATCAAAAGTGCGCTTCTCAAACAAATATCAATGATCATATTGTGGTCAATGGGCTATATGCACGCATAAGTTCCGCATTTGACGTAAGGATGCTCGTCCATTTCCGGTTGTGTAGATTAAAGCGGAGGAAAACCGGAGAAAACGGGATTATGGCAGAGTCTTCAAAATTTACTGTCCTCCCGTCTTTGAAACGAAACGTACATACGTTTAGATGTAATTTTATATATAGTTATGTTTATTTAATATAATTTTAAAAAGAAGCATAAACACAACAAGGGGTGTCTGTTTTATCTGTTTTTGTGACTAACGTTTCATTAGTATAACCATGGAGTATAAAATTCAATATAAATTCTCGGTATTGCATTGGACTCTATGATCGGCGGAAGTTATCGAGCATCCTTAATCCTTCACCGGAAATAACGCCGTGCATAGAGCCCATAAAATAAAATGCATTTTGATTATAATCAACAATGACAATGTGTACAAGACCAAAGTACCCTAAATTCACGTTTCTTTTAACGTTTCTGTCAGTCTGAGGTGTCATTGCCGTAATGCGTTGCGGAGGGTTGTGTCCTTTGCGCGTGACTGTCTTGCTCCGGACTTGACTCACTGAAGAGGTCAGTCTCCATTTTCCAGAAATTCCAAAAGTCTCCAGAAATTTGGATTCATACTCAAATTTGAATAAGTAAACCACACAAAAAGGACTATTCATAATTCACAAAAAACTAAACAACACAAACAAGCCACCAACTACAAACCAAACTGGGTTTGTACAGCTAGGGGACTGTACCTGCGGATTGGCATGCAAAGTTGAGAAATTGTGGCTGAACAACAAATGAGGCATGTTGATGCATGCAGGGAAGCATTGTCTGGGACAGGGTACCTATCAGATGTCACAGATAATATTCTCATGAAGTATGCATATCACTGCAGGGTAAGAATGGTATGGGAAAACCAACTTGGAGTTTGTTTGCATTAGGTGAACAAATGCAAACATAAGAGGTAGTTGTAATAAAAGTAAACATCTTACTGAAACTAAGAATTTAAAATTGCCGTTAAATACTTTTTTTAGTAACTTGTTTTATCTATTGATGAATAAAAATAAAAATAAAAAGAACTATGGACAATCTGAGCATGAAATTCAAACTAAATTTAAAATGATTCTAAACATCTGGTTACAAAGTAAATATTTTAAGTTAATAAATAATAAACACATTTACATCTAGCAAAGCAGGTAAACAAATGAAATATTTTAGTAAGTAATTTTTAGTAATAGTCATGTTGCTTGTATACGAGATGAAATAGCACAAAGCAAAGGAACACTGTATAGAGTGCAAAAATGTACCATTTTAAACTGACTTCATCCTAAACACTTTAGGAAAATAATCAATTATAAAATGCTTGGTTTTGTTTAGCAATAGAGCAAAGAAAATCATTAGATGCACCTCGCACCTAGAAGCACATGTAAATACCTTGGTACATGAGTATGATAAACATTCTGTACCATGGGACATATCAAATAATCATACTATTTCCTAACAACATATCTGTACCATAGTAAAACCACAGTACTATTTTGTAAGGGTAAAAGCCATATCTCAAGGGAACTGTGGCTAACAATGTTTTCTAAGTCTTGTGGTCAGGAATAGGTAAGAAAACAATAGACTTACTGAAGGATCCGATTTAACAGATTTTACAACAATAGTAACTCTTGTTGATGGCTAAGTCTGCAATAACGGCTCAGACTTGTTGTTTAAGCACTGGCATGAGTACCAGGTGATACCGGCGCTGACATTTTCAAATGCCACCTCAAACTCAACTCTGACTTCTGCCAGAACTTTGCACACCATTAGGCTTTTAATGATGGCAATTGCGCTGCAATTAAACACTTGCATGCAGCATTTGCAGTGAGTGAGAGTTTCAGGTGCAATGAAACACAAATTTGCTTTTTAAAAGAGAGTGATTTTGTTTGGAAAGAAATGGGAAAAAATAATGCACATCATAAAGCTGAAGCTGTTATTGTGATCTGGTCTGTCTCAGACAAGAATCGGTACAGGAGGTAGAGGTGAATTCTCTTGAACGTGCTATCAAGACATTGTTTAAGAAGTGCACCGCTGTCCTGTTGGTTCTCATTCACTGGACGCCTGAGTCACAGTCTATTACAGGAGAAACACATCACAGCTCTCTCCGTGAAGACAATTGAAATAGCGAGGGAGGGAGAGACCAGCTTCTCTCATTGCCATGGTGATAAAATGACATATTCCTACAGCAAGCCAAATCTAAAGCATCTCTGTCAAGTGCTTTTTTGAAGCTTGCTATGCTTTTAAATTCCACTCAGTCAAAATGTTTCTTTCTGCATGTCCTTGCTACAGTTCACTGCTTGCTCATTTCTGTCATATCAAGTTTTATGCTAGAGCCTGGTTATATGGCACCAAACAAAATGCTGATTCTTGAGAATGCGGATAGTCTTTATTTGCATATGTGGCCTTTCTAAAGTAGTCAAATTATGATGTTTGGATTAGGTTTCTGATTACATGTCAGGGTCAGAAAAAAAATTCACCTAAAATGCTGTCATCATATACTCAGCCTTAATTTGTTCCAAACCTGCATGACATTCTCGAGTGGAACACAAAAGAAGAAGGTCTGGTAAAAAAAAAGTAGCATAAACATATAATAAAAGTAGCCCAGCATGTGATGTGTGGCAAATATATATATATATATATATATATATATATATATATATATTTCTGGTACTTTTGAAGCTTGTAGACAATATCCATTTACTAATAATGAAAACAACAACTAAGAACCTTTAAAATGTCTCCTTTTATGTTCCACAGAAAAAAGAACATCACAAGAACGACATGATTTGTTTGAGTAAATGTTGACAATTTCAATTTTTAGTTGGACTATTCTGTTACACAGGAAAATAAAAATAAAAAATAAACACCAAAAGTGACCAAAATACCAAAGACATTTTTGGGCTCAGCATCCATGTGACCAAACAATTATGCTGAGACAAAAAAAAAAAAATAACAATAAAAATTCCCATAATGAATGTACAAATATATATATATATATATATATATATATATATATATATATTAAAAAAAAATATTTCTTAAAATTCTACAACTCCTCTCACTAATTTAATTATTTAATGAATTGATCAAATTGAAAGCATTTGACAAACTATGACAGTATTTCTATGTAATAAAAAAAATATGATAAATGTAAAAATGCCCAAGAAAAAAAACAAAACATGATTGGGAGACTGATAAAGTCGCTTTTTGAAGGTATTTTCATTAAATGCTAATTTAATTCTACTAAACTGGTCAGTCACATTTTGGATGTACACTCCTCCACAGGCCATTTCAGTGGCAAACTGGAATAAAGACCTTATAGGAAGCTATACTGAGAAGAGACAGACATTTACACTTTACTCAGGATGCTTAACATTTATTTGTTACGATTAAACTGTCTAGATTTGAGAACTTTTAAAGGGAGAAGGAAGGTACAAGGTTAATATGAATGAGAGGTTAATGGAAAGGGAATTTGTTTTTTGTTTTTCTGTAATGATATTTTTCTGAATGGTATTTGATGACATTCCTGGATGACCTACCTGGAGCGTGGCAAGAACATGGACTCTTTGATGAAGACGGATCCCGAGAGCAGAATGTACCAGCATGTGCCAATGTCATCAGGACTGAAAGAGAGAGAAAAAGAGAGGAAGACGAAAAAAATTAAGAGTCTAACAGGAAACAAAACATGCTTATGTCTAACATGTGGTCTGGTTTGCTGTATGGTTAGAGAAAAAGCAGCTGACACAGACACACATAACATCAATGCCTAATGTAAACACTCTGTCATCATTTTTGTCCTGTGATACACTCCTGACAAAAGAAGACATTAGGAGATTCCCCAGAGGAAAACCGAGAACAGAGCTATCAAACGGCCAACAAACCATCTCTCTTCCTCCTGTAAGTGATGCCAGTTGAAATATGACTGCTTGATTTATGTGAGTGTGTAGGAAATAACACACTGACACACAATCCACACTCCCTTTTTTCAGGTCACAGAGCAGTCAGGAACGTTAGACATCTTCTGAGGCGCGCTGGGTCGACGCCAGAGACATCCTTCCACCTCCCGGCGAGCACCGCTCCATGTCTGCCTCTCCAGTAAGTGTTAAAAGTGGGAATGTGAGAAGATGGGCAACCCAATGAGCAGCGGACATCTTGATCACTGAGTCAGAACAGCACTCCAGTGAGATAACATGCCCAAAGCAGTGCTGGGGTTTATGAGCTGACAGACAGTCCTAACATGAAGCAAATAACCCAGATTTCATGCTACACTGCACAATTCATTATTCCACATTTTAATATGTGATTTCATGTTTTTTGTCTGTGATGAAATTCCTTGTATATCTTATTCTAATGGTGCATTCAAGTTATGTTGAAAAGATCGCAATTACGAGGTGAACGCACATTAAAGGAGTAGTTCACTTTAAAAAAAAAAGTTTGCTGATAATTTACTCACCCCCATGTCATCCAAGATGTCCATGTCTTTCTTTCTTCAGTCAAAAAGAAATTAAGGTTTTTGATGAAAACATTCCAGGATTTTTCCATATAATGGACTTCAATGGGAACCAAACGGTTCAAGGTCCCAGCTTCAAAGGGCTTTGAACGACACCAGACGAAGAATAAGGGTCTTATCTAGCGAAACGATCCGTCATTTAAAAAATAAATACAAATTTTTACGTTTTATGAGCACAAATGCTCGCCTTGCTCTGTTCTGTGATGAGCGTTCGTGACTCTCCTGTTCAAACTCGTTCATCAAAATGAACAAATCTTTTTTAGAGTCATGACTCGAAGGGTCCTAGACAAGACCCTTATTCATCGTCTGGTGTCGTTTAAAGCGCTTTGAAGCTGCACTGAAACTCTCATTTGGACCTTGAACTGTTTGGTTCCCAATGAAATCCATTACATGGAGAAAATCCTGGAATGTTTTCATCAAAAACCTTCATTTCTTTTCGACTGAAGAAAGAAAGACGTGGACATCTTGGATGACATGGGGGAGAGTAAATTATCAGCAAAAGCACAACAAAGTCATAAATACGAGTGGGAAGGTCGGGATGTTTACGAGTTTGGGGGCACGTCAGTGAGAAAAGTCACGAATACCACAATATGTAAAGGCATTTTTAGCAGTGACATTGCCAGGCTTTTTTATTAACAACAAAATAAGATAATTCCCTGCACAAAATATAATGGCATTGTAATTTAACAATATAATATGCAACAATACATTTAACAGTGGCTTCATAAATTAAATAAAACATTAAAAACCGAAACACACCTGATGCACGTTCTTTGTTCTCTAAGAGATGGTACACCGCCATCTTGCTCTGGTTCATAAATACAAACTTCCCAGGAGGACTTGAATGTACCATTTACGGTCAGTTTTTGACAATAACTTAGAAAGATAGACCTAGTGTGAGCATCAGTCCACAACCCTATTTTATAATTATGTTGAACAATGGAATTCCTAAAGGAAACATCATCAACCAGGATTATGCAAAAAAATATCAGATAATTGAAATCGCACCAAATGACATCAATCTCAATAGGGTCAATAGACATCAATAGATTCAACCTCCCTATTCTCAAACTATTAAAATTTTCTCAATCAACAACTTTAAATCAATAGTTTTGTGTCATCCGCATTTTCGTATTTTAGTATACATTTCTGCCTCTTTTCAAAGTTTGTAATGTTTTATTCTCTTTGTATATGGTTGGTTTGGTTCATTGCATATAACTCTTTAATGAAGAATTTCTGAAAAATGTTAAAATCTTCTGTCATACATGGCAACGTTGTATATTGGATTGCTCATTTTATAACGGAGAAGGCACTATTTTGTGTCTCTGTGATTGGCTGCAGTAAAAATAACATCCAAGCACTTCCGTTTTAATATTTCTATAATTGTTGCAGTGTGTCTTATTGTGCCACCAACCTTTTTGTGTGTTGTAATGCACAATTACAACATAAAACTTTAAGATAATGTTAACTCAAATGAAATTAATATTTCCCATCCTTGTATTTACGTATTTATCTAGTATAAGTAGCCATATTTGATTATTGCACCCATTGAAATGTCCATATCGATCAACACTTTGAGTACAACAGACAGTACTCCAAACTTCTGGAAGTTTGTCTTTAAATGGCAATCCTAAACAACACGCACACATGAATACTCGCTCCAGCATCTCAATAGGACTAATGAGGCAGCTCCTGACTTCTCTCAAACGCAGCATGATGAGCACGGCTTGCTTTTTTCGTTCTCTTTCTGCATCGCTCCCTTCATCATTGCAGCTTCTGTTCCCTCTTTTAATCGTTTTTTTTTTTTTCCCGAGCGCGCGCAGACAAAAACGAAGCACTCAATTATTAATCAGCAGAATGCAAAGAGGGAGAAGGAGAGAGCGGAAATGATGGAGGGCGAGAGACGGAGAGCGTGAGGATGTTCTGCACCATCAACGGAGCAGCGCTGACTGAACTGGGTCACTGAAATACACTCTTCCAGCGCTCATCAAATGCTCATCAAGCTCACAGCCTCAGCCTCCAGACCCTCAGGAACGACTGGGGAGCAGCAGAAACCAGAGCAGGAAGTCAGGCACGGTTTGAAGGAATATGGGCTTCATGCGTTCATCCTTAGGGGTTATTTATCCACTAATCTTCAGTAAGTTTAAAAAAGGAAACTCTTAATTAAAGGTTCAAATCCACAGACAAATACATGGAAAAGTATAATATTAATAGTGTTGAGTGTTCATGCCTTTACAAATCTTTATCATAGCATCCCACATTATAATGCATAGTTTCTCCAGGTATTACTGAACAATGTCAATGTTGATTTATTACAATTGTACAGAACAAACAATAAATGGAAGAAGCAGTTATTACTGGCATTTTAATAATATTTTTCCAGAAACCATGGTTACCATGGTCAATTTTGTGAGGGTGTCACTAGATATTAGCAAAAAATGAATGTCATTGAAAATGTCTGTTAACTGACATTTTGATTCTCAGTATATTAAAAAGTTGTAAATCTTTACGACCAACTTTGTTAAATATAAAAATGAATCCAATCCAATCCAGTCAGAAATTGAACATGATCATCTCACTGTTTGCTGCTACGACCTACGTCTACTGACTAGCCAATAAAACTGCAACATGAAATGGCGCATTGATCAACACGACATGGTGCTAAAACTTAACACTATTTACTATGCCAAGTCATGACTGAATCCATATTCTCCTATTTTGCTTCTTCCTCTTTTGTTCAGCGCACATAAAAAACACAATTTCTGCAATTGCACCACTAAAGCATACTGATGACATTTTATTATTCTGTAATATATTGTCTCATAGCCTACAATTCAATAGATGTCATCTTCATGATCTTTATGTTGTACCCAAGTTTATTAGATCCATGTCGTATAGTGTGATTTGTAATTATTTTATAGGATTGCAGAAATCGAACAGTCTATAGCAGGCATAAGTTACTGTTAAAATTACAGTAACTCCACTAGTATGTAACCAGTAAAATTCTAAAAGTTTTATAATTGTAAAAGGTTATTAGGACTTAAATGCGCATTCAAATCAAGTATGGACAAAACCGTGTTTATAATCGGTGTTAAAGTGCCTACACAAAACCGTGTTTATAATTGGTGTTAAAGTGCCTACATTTCTTGTAAGAGCTGTGTGTTTGTGCCCAGCGGCGGATCTTGGGCTGATGCGATTCCCAGCAGGAATACAGAGAGAGTGATGGGGAGAGGGAAACCTTCTGGTGGCCATGACTGTAAGAGAGAACCCTTCTGCTGTGTGTGTGTGTGTGTGTGTGTGGAGTGTGTGTGGGGCACTTTCTCTCTTTTTAAAATCCACTATTTTATGTGCAACACTCTGTACGTGGTGCTATAATCCCCCCTCCACTTATGTACCCAGTGTCTCACTAAACGGGTTGAATGGTTACACACTGTATATAAATCTACTATTTGTATTGTAAAAAAAAAAAAAAAAAAAAAATCTTCAGGGCATTGTCAATAGATAATGCATGTTAAAATATATTTTAATGCATGTTAATATATATTTTTAGTGAATTTAGACTAAAATTGTTTTACATGTATATATTGTGCATTCATACAAATTTGAATAAAGTGGGGTCCACGTTGAAAATCTGAGATTTTCTTTCATTTGCACCTGGAAATAAACTTTTTAATATTCTGAGAAATTGAAAACCAAATTATGATGTTAAAGAAATATTTAAATTGTTGGTTCAAGCAAAAATGAAAGTTCTGTCATGATTTACTCACCCTCATGTCGTTTCAAACTCGTTAGACTTTTGTTTTTATTTTGTTTTTTACTTTTGAGCTTGCTGTCCCTCCATAAACGGCTACACAACTACCACTTAGATGCTTCAAAAATTTCATACAGAGATTGTATAATCCAAATGAAAAGAGTGTGATCACTTTAGCCCAAATTTTTAAAAGAAACTTTATATAAGCTTAATATAAGCTCAAATGTGCTGCGTAACACACGAGAATGAACCTCATTGGTTCTTGCAGAAGCTCAAACATGCTGCGTAACACGAGAATGAACCTATTGGTTCTCACATGTCAAGCGAACTGTTTACGATAACTGACGTGTGCGTTGATAAATGTTTATATGTAAATAAAAGCCTAAATTGTCTGTTGATCATGTAAAGGGATCTTGTCACTTCAGAAAATATGGACTAAACTGCTCAATTCAAATCGATTAGTTTTAGCATCTCTTAATTTACTTTAAGCGTCAAAGTGGTAGATTGTGACCCCAAGCATGTGAACTCGCAAATCCAATTATACCGTAATGTATGATCAGTGGTGGAGGAAGTACTGAATCTCAGTACTTAAGTAAAAGTACAAATACCCAGATAAATATTTACTTTAGTAAAAGTAGAAGTAACACAATGACAACCATACTTAAGTAAAAAGTAAAAAGTACTTTATTTTAAATGTACTTTAAGTATTAAAAGTAAAAGTACTTGCATAACAATTTATTATCTTAATGTCTATTTTCTAATGATTAATAAAACATTTAATTCTAACTCATTCTAGCCTACTCCTTTAATGATGTTCAATAATGATGGAAAAAAATGTCACCATTTCTGAAACAAGCTTGCAATTAGGCAATATCATGCTTATCCTTAGTACTATATGTTAATAACTATGTTTGGCAGTAAACGCGATTCATTTATGGTATAATTCTGAACCTCTTGGCTTGCCATAATCCTAACCAAACCAAACATATATTACACACGGTGTGTTTTCTATGCACGTAAAAACAAATTTTTGCGTATGAGTTGCATGATAAACACACTGCGTGTGAGACGCATTTAGTGTGACCGGGTTGATATATTGTATCTATGGCAACCAAACGTCACTGGTGAGACAAACGTGCAACGAACGGACGGTCAGATTACGTTTTGTCAGGGGAAAAACTGATCAGAAAATGTAACGAAAATGTAACAGAAGTTGTAGAAATGTAGTGGAGTAGAAAGTATAATAATTGCTGCAAAATGTAACGAAGTAAAAGTAAAAAGTATGCACTATTTATTCTACTTAAGTAAAGTAAAGATACGTGAAAAATGTACTTAAGTAAAGTAACGAAGTATTTGTACTTCGTTACATTCCACCACTGTGTATGATAACATATGCATCACAATTGTGTATTTTATTGTGAGATAGTCCTAATGCTAAACAGAAATTCTGGTATTTCACACAATCTGTGGTTTTATCTACAATTTGTAAAAAAAAAAAAAAAAAAAAAAAAAAAAAAAAAAGTATTGTATTTCATAAAAAAAGAGACAAAATTGGAACTATAAATTGACAGAAAAATATATATCAATCGATTAATTCAGTAAGAATTACTTTCTTGTTCAAGATCATAATTAGCAAGAATAGGCAAAAGTCCCTGAGCAAATCCCCCTGAGGTTTGTTTAACAAATTTAAACATTGCTTAAACATATTTACAAAAAGCAGAAATCAATATGCCTTTAACAACATTAAAACCTTTATCACAAATATTTTCAGAAGCCCTAGTGTGATATTATTGTCCTCCCGTCCCAAACCGCTCAAAAATAAAGTATAAGCAGCAGAATCTCGGAAAGCATGTTTGTGTATGGCACTAGCGGTTCAGAGGCTGTTGCGGTGGGAGTGGTTTGTTCCTGAGGGAAATCAGCAGCAGCACACACAAGTCTGAAGACTATTATTAGCGCGTAGCTTTAAAGCAGTGAGCTGTCTAAAAAAAAAAAAAACAGTGGAGTGAGTCGCTGAGGTACAGCGTCAAGGCTGGTGTAGCAGACACAGTGGAGTGTTAGAACTTAAATAGTCTGCCACCGGGAGTTTTGAGAGTGCGTGGATAAAAACAACCACACTAAACAGTGCACTGACTCACATTGTTAAACAAACCCACAACTTATAGATGAACCAAAAATATATGCTGCTTTATTTGCATTTGCTTACTAGGCAAGCCCGACAAACGAGCGTTCCAAAAGAAAGTTTTTTTTTAATCTGTCCCTGCAGACAATAAACAGCAGGATGTCGGACAAAGTCTGACTCCTGCTGTTTCCAAATACGTACACACTTTTTGTTGTAAACTCATGCAAACTCCTACAGCCAATCAGATACAGACTTCAAACTGAACATGTATTCTGCATTTGTTTTGCCAAATTGCTGTCTAATTCAAGACACAAAAGCCTATTACAGAGCAACAATTAAAAGAGGACTTTTTAACAATTAAAAGAGAACAATTAAAATTCGCCTTTTTAGGGCCCCCTTAAACGTCGGTAGATGAGGTTATGGGATCCTAACTCTACCCCAGACCTAAACCTAACCCATCACCTAACTGACGTTAAAGGTAAAGCGTCAGTTGTATGACGGCCCGGGATCGCCATCTACCGACGTTTAAGGGGGCCCTAAAAAGGCGGATATTGACGTATGGTCAAAAGACGTCCCAAGACGTCAGTTATATGACTTTTTGGGATGAGACTGTGTTAAGTCAACCGTTCTCTGAGATTTGTTTTCAAGATAATCGAATGTAAAGAGTTTTACCTCTAAAAACTGTTTAGCGTATAATGCTAGTACTGCTAGTGTGGTTTTTTTTTATGGATAAAACATAAAAACATAAAAAAAAATGTAAAAAAAATGCGCTGAAAGAAAAATCTCGAGGACTGGGTCTGAAAATTACGAGTCCTTCTCCTCCCACTGTGGTCCAAGACCGAGTCAAGACCAAGTCTTTGAAGGGTCGAGACCGAGTCAAGGCCGAGTCTTTGAAGGAACAAGTCCAAGACGAGTCAGAGAAAGCAGAAATCGGTCTTGAGAACGGTCACGAGTCCGAGACCAGACTCGAGATCTCCATCACTAGTTCACAGGCTTCAAGTTTGATCTCAGTTCTAATAGACATTTGCTCAATGAGTTCATGTATTTAGTTTTCGAGCGAATTTGAGCCATTTTTTCAGCTTAGCTTTATTAACTGTTAATTTGGACAGAGATCATACTGTATTCAAACCTTATTGAGTTTTGAAAGTATCAGGTTTGACTTCAGTTGTCATAAATCATGCATTGAACCGTCATTTGATAACACTGGTGTCAAAATTGCTAAAATGTTGCCATATTTGAGAATTACATCGACAGAAAAAAATTCAGTGATTATAGCTCAATTTTGTAGTCCTCACACAGTCATATGGCTTTTAGAAAACCTGGAATAAAGTTTATAAATGTGTGAAAACTTATTTATCAATCCTTTTAGGTCATTTTGGAGCTTAACAGCATCTGACCTTATTCACCTTTATTATTTGAAAAACAACAGCTAGAATATTCTTCAGAATGTGGAATATGTATTTCATTTCATTTTATATGTTAAAATATAGAATATGTTTTTTTTTTTTACTAAATTAACTTGGGTATTTTGAGGGGGGACTATTTAATGCACAGATCTATTGAACAGAAGCACATATTCCATGTAATCAACTGACCTAAAAATGACCTAATTCAGCAGCAGTAATTAACAGTTCAGTGCAGCAACTTCACACTCTTACACAGGCGCAATAGACAAGATGCTATCAGAGACGATGAGTAAATGAGACGTTCCCCCTTTATGAACAGGGGGTAGTGACCCGCGGAAGGAAGCGGTCATACTCCATCTTCCTTCAACAGAAAAGAAAAATGGAGTGTGAAATTGGAGGGGAGTGTCTGGGTCCACCCGAGGGAATAAATATATGTGTTTGAGCGTGTGCGTTTATGTGTGTTGGACTCCAGGACCAAAAAAGCAAGAAGCGATGGGTGTCAGGCAATGCCAACACTAACTTCAAACATTGCTGAGAGGATACAAGTGGAGACTTTCTTTAAAAAACACACGCCATGCTCTTCAGATGAAGGGCGAATCTAAAGTGGGTTAGTATGTCTTAGATGTTGTAGATCAATAGCCGTTTGTGTATCACCCAGAAACCCTGTATTCCTCAAAATGCCATTTTCAGCTACTAGTATACTCATTATAACATGACAGAAGGCTCATGCAGCACTGAATATAACACTTTTGCTTCAGCGCTTTCACATCTCACCTTTGTAATTTGATAAGACTTTTGAAAAGCGGGCTATATTTATCACCGCTTCTGGAGTGACGATTTTTGAGGACTATTTGTGGTTATGCATTACACATCCTACAAAGGCTTACAGAAGCATAATGGCTTTAAACAAAGGAATTGGATGGAAAACAAGGTTGTTACTCACTAATAGAGCACTTCGTTGGCTTCGTGTCTTTCGTAGCGTACGGTTTCACACATTATCCTAAAAAAAAGGGATGAGAGAGAGAGAAACATATAATCAGTGACATATCCAAACTTAACAGCTGCAAAAGAAACAAAAGTACCCTAATATTATTGTCTGCGATTTTGAAAAATCCATGTTGTGAAACCAAAATCTAAAAGGATTTCAGAACCAGGGGCCTCATGTATAAACGTTGCGTACGCACAAAATGGGCATAGAAATATGCATACGCATTTTTCCACGCGCACATCGGGATTTATAAAAAATAAACTTGGCGTAAATAAGTGCGCACCGTAAGGATGCTCTTGACCGTGCGTACGCACTCTTTTAAAAGAGTATGGGTTTTGGCGACACCGATGGTGAGCTGGAGTCAAATGTCTTTTTGCTTACTATTAGACAGAGAATCTAAAGAAAACTATACATCTACAGAAAGACAATACAAATATAATTTCACAAACCTATCATCACTTGAAGCAAACATCCATCCCTTCTTAAATGACCGCGCCTGCACGCGCGTTGGGCCGTTTGGTGAAACTGACGCATATAGCCTATAATCTAACGGCAGATGGAGTAAAACCGTAAATCTTCATTATGAGTCCAAATCATAAATACAGTCCATATTCACAATAACAGTTTAAATAAATAAGAGAATGGTTTAAACTATGTTTTACTTTTGATATAAACATTTAGATTAAATATGCCATTCTCATTAATGGAGTTAAACTCTTAAACTACATGAAATCATGACTGAGAAGTTACAATATATATATATATATATATATATATATATATATATATATATATATATATATATTCAATAAATAGAAATAGACCTATTTGTTGTGGACGCATTGCTTTTGAACACTTTTCTTCTGGCATTGCTGTGTTTTGATGTTTTAACTAGAGATTGTCTGAGAAAACTGTTTCGTGCAAATAATGCACAACCATGTCTATCTCTTCCATTAAAATCTCTTCCATTATCCATTAAAATATAAATCAATTAAAAATACTATTTGGCCAGTGGAAAAGATTGAGAAAAACTTTCTCTGAAATGTATTTAACACTATTTGATTTATTCATTCAAAAACATGGCAAGGATATAGGCTACTAAAAAAAATGTTTGTAATAATGTGACGGCACATCCGCATTTCATATTTTCCTAACGTCTTGTACCTTTAACAAGTACTTGTTAAACTTGGTATCACGTGGATGAATAATCATATGCAAATGATATGCAGATGAGGATATACATAGTAAAACTAGGCGTTGTAATCTCCATATATGGTTATTTCGGGGAGGAGACGCACGTGCGCATAATCTCCCGCTGACTGGGATTTATGAAGTGAATTCTGCGCAGGTTCTGGCGTACGAACGGTTTTATAAATCTGAAAACTTTTGTGCGTACACAAATTCTGCCTTATGTGCGTACGCACACTTTAAGGATGAAATCTACGCAAAGTTTTATACATGAGGCCCCAGGACTGGTTGGCATTGTGTTTGAAAAGAAAAACAAACAGTCTGCCTTGTGTTAAGAACAGCGCAAGGACAAGAAAAAATTCTGTTTGTGAATGACATATTTCAATGTTGGTTAATGCTAGAAGTGCTGTTTTAAGTAAACTCGGATGTATCGCCACAGAGCAAAACAATCCAGAGGACAAAAACATTCTTCAAAAGACATTCCATAAAGTTCAGCTCAGTTGGAGTGCAGAAAGTCAACCAAGTCCATCTGACACATTCCCAAAGATATGTACGGACCCATGAAGGGGTGTTGGTGGGGTCATGTAGGGTTAGGAATGTTCTAGAACTGCATAGTCACGTAGCAAAGTATTTTACCTCAAAATATGTACGTCCACTTGAGCATACATGATGGAGAACCTTTATTTTAAGAGACAACGATACAACAATACTGACTAGCAGCAGTTGCTGACATAACTGTATGTTAGCTAAATCAAATATAGTCCAAAACTCTTATTGAAAAGCAAATATACTTGCATAGTAATTCAAGAGATTAAGAGAACACTTCAGACTTTGGCTGGTTTTTAATTTTGTTAATTGTTTATATATAGTCAGTGTATATAGTATCTATACCTATACATGCATATGTATAGTATATATGCATATACATATATGTATACTATAAATGTATACTATATGTATACATTTGAGGACCCCTCGAAAATGAGATGTTCCATCTCAAGGGGTTATCCTCCAATAAAATGATGATGATGAAATGATATGTAAATATGCATTATATATATATATATATATATATATATGTATATGTATGCATGTATATATATATATACATATATATATATGCATATACATATATATACACACACACACATATATATATATATAAAAATATATATATATTTATATGCACCTAGCATATTTATATACACACACACATGCATTTAATCTCACATCTGTCTATCATTTAGACATTTATAACCCACCATCCACCACCTGCTTTACCTGAGAAAACATTTGTGCATTTTTCCCCCACTCATTTATCAAATCCTTCCTTCAGTTTTACCTCAGTTGGTGCTCCCGAAGATTGGACAGCGCCTCCATTCCATGCAAGTAGGAATAAACGATCTCCAGGTCCTGCAGGTAAAACAGGAGAGAAAGAGAAAAGATCAAATATCAAAGTCTATTCATCTGTAAAAGCCAACACATTCTCATCCTAGGGCGTCATATAGTGACGCTTTTGACAATGCGTCTAAATCTGATGCACATGGCACCCTTCTGGGGGTCTGAGGGTAGGGTTAGACCACTAGGAGGCGCCTTCTGGCCCAAATATATATCTGCGTCTCATATTGACGCTAAACTGTGCTATGTGTTGGATGTATACGCATTGCCAAAAGTGTCAGTATATGACGCCTTGTGATGAGAACGGGCTGACACACTGCCCTAGAATTCTCAGCACAAGGAGATAATATTTATTTCAATAGGAAAAGTGTGGTATAGAAATTGGCCTTGAAACAAAGGGAGAAATGCAGCTACACAGCATGAGATTTCTCTACAAAAATATAGATTTGTCACAGTGATCATAAAAATAAATTACATTAAGCCAATCTCAATCTCAAATGCACTAACATCTCAAATTGACTGTGGTTTACACTCATTTGTGATTAGAGTAATCTCATGATTTGAACACTTCCTCATGTGTTCGTTTCTCATTTATAGGTGTACAGAGCAAACACTTCTAAACAAAGTCTCGAGTCTCTAAACAGGTCCTTTCACTAGAGAGAGAGTCTTGCTCTATCTACAAGTGGCTCTTCAGACACACCGGTCAGTGTCCACGACGTAGCTGAGCACACAGCGCGTCCTGTCCCCTTCCACATGCAAAAGAGCACTGACGCCAGAACTGGGCCGCCTTTGTGCTCACAAAGGCATGCTGGGATAGCGAAGAGGACAAAAGAGGTTCTGTGCTCGCACACACACTCACTTGATTATGAACTGAGAGACCCTGTGTGACATGCAAACACACAGCTCGCCAAACATTTGCCTTCTGATATAGCTCAAGTAAACCTCCGTCCCCTTGTTTTCCGATTAAGACTTATGTGATTGATAGATGATAAAGAATGGGAGAAAACTGTACTGGTCAGGTGAGACTGTGGGCCAGAAAAGGATATCTCGGTCATTGGTTTGTAAATATGGCGAGATACAGGGGGTGAGGGTTCAGACGAGATGAAAACGAGTTGACCCTAAGGATAAACCACAAGGCATCTTAAAGGGTTAACAAAACAGTTGCTGGTCCCCGTTGATTTTAATAATACTTAGTATTATTTATTTTTTTTAACCCACATCAAAATTTCTAATAAACAGAATAAAGAATCTCATTGAGGTTTAGAACAACTTGAGGGCGAGTAAAAAAAAAAAAAAGACAGAATTTAATATTTTTTGGTGAACTATCCTTTTAAATGCCATATTGTTGGCCCTATGTTTGTGGGAGGGCAGGTGACCGTAAATGTATTCTTATGATGCATGTATGTTATTAATGTATTATGCAAAGAGGGCAGAGGACAAGGTCACATGGACAAAATATCCTGGAATAATAACCGCCATCTTTTGCAGTGTCAAAAGAGGCTGATGAAAAGAAAAGTGATGAAGTGATTATTTGTCACCCCCTGCTGTTAATAGCAGTACATTGCATGGTATTGGTAAAGGTTAGAGGAAGTATTAACAGAAAAACAATAAAAATAATACACAAAATTAAACACAAACAAATAACACAAATTTTAAATTTAAAGCATATTAAAGTATTATAAGATTATATAAAATAAAAATGTAATTTAAGAAGGTAAAACAAACAAGCACTTCACGCTTGCTAGATGTTAAATCAATATATTGATTTAGTCATTTTATTTTAATTTTAGTGCCTTTGTTAACCTTTATTTTTTATGACAGTGTTTGGATTCAAGCACACTTCTATAGGTCATCTAGGTGACTGCTGGGAGCGATTGCTTAGAAAAATCGGCACACCTCACCTCCCTTTAATGAGACAAATGATTGGAGGCATCAAAGCAGAAGCACAAACAGTGTGGGACGTTTAAACGTTGCATTTAATGCATAGAGGTTTGTTCATATCTATAAACCTAAATATGAGCAATAGGAATAGTGATGTTTGCTTTAGCAAGCAAAAAAAGAACAATAAGGCAGAGACAATGACAAAAGACCCTCTAGCTGGTGTGCACTACACACATCCTCCACTAGATGTCATGCTGGTGTAAGATTTCACCGACTCATGTCCAGCTCTTTCTGCGCCTCTTAGCGCCACAACTGGCTGGAATGAAGCTCTACTAGAACACTCTGGCTTTCTTTTCCCCCCTCAAATATTACTTCTAAATTCAACATGGAAAGAATGCGCAGAACCCCATTTTTTTTCAGTCTCAGTGTCCTCATGAGGAGTTTTCATTCCTTTTATTATATCGCTCTGCCAGAAGTTCATAATGAGTGCACTACAACATACACTGAGAATGAACAGTGTTGAAACGATGAACTTTGACTTTGCTATTTTTGGTCACCTATATACATTTAGATGAATTATCATTTAGATAAGTTGTATCACTTAAATAAGTTATCATTTAATTATCATTTAGATAAGTTTACTCAAAAACTGACAGAACAATACTGTAAGTTAAATGTATGGTAAGCAATTTCAGAGAGGCTAGCAATAGCAAGTTAGCTTTAAAAGCATGAGATCCCACCCTCCCTTCAGAGCATCTCAAACACATGAGCACACGCAGCAGAGTCTGCAAAGCATCATGAGAGACGGCGCTAAACAACCTCATGTCTTAAATCACATACAGCATTACCATAATAATGAACGTAAACGACTTACAGAGCTCGGATTGTACCACCTGACTGCTGCATTTTACTAGGTTTCTTAAAGGGATGGTTAAAAAAGGCAAGCTAAAATCTAAATTGAAAATGTAAAAATAAAAGCTAATTTAAAATATTTAGAAACACTATAATAGTATTTAAATAATACTAATATGACACTGGTATTTTATAAGTTTTACATTCAACAAAATGGGAGTTGGTATATAAAAAAAAAACAATAAAAAGTCAAATGTAAGTGCTTGTGGTTATTTTTCAGTTGTATCATATTTTAACGATTATGAATTTTATTAGTTGGCATGAAGAAAAAGCATACATTTTACGATTGCCATAACCAAAACGTCTTGATTCTGGGTTTGAATCACTCACACATCGTGGACAGTGTTTACAGACAAAAGCAAAAGTGTGAATCTGAAGAAATTACTCCTACAATACCCACCACTTATTTATTTATTAATTTATTTTTCATTTTACAAAAGGCTGAGCCTGGCAGTGTTTTCCAACAGATGCCAGGTTCACGGTAAAGCACCACTAGGTTTGCACACTCACTTTGTACTCTCTTTCTGCATTGTGACTGCTTCCTCCCAGAGTGCTTTGTGACAAAGGGACCATTGTGTTTTGTGATTGGTCATATACAATATGTGAAGCCCAGGGCACTCAGCCTTCGCTGGTTACACAACTCTCCTGGGAGTCAGTGGGTAACAAGCTGAATGACAAACACCGCTGAGACCAGGTAGAGTAATGATGAAACTGGCGAGTTAGGCAAACAACAGTTGTTTAGCAGCAGCCTTAGTGAAACTCAATGAACAAAGTCATGAGACTCTACCTGTACAGTCTATTTAAAAAATGTTGAAAATGAAATGATGAAACACCAAATTTGAAATGTACATCAAAAGAAAGATTATGGCCGCCTTAACAGCAGCAGAATACAGATGTCAGTCCTTAATACAGTTACATTCACAGTTCTCTGAAAACCCGAGCTGTGTGCGTAACCAGACTGATCAAAGTTGTCTGTTACAATAAACCGTGTGACAGACATTAAAATTCAAGACTTTTTAAGGTATTATTTCCAAATTAATAAATTCAATGCTTTTAAGACCCCGTGGGAACCCTGATATAAACACTGGTGAATGAAGAACACAATTACAAAATAGCAATGCAAAATTTTAAATAATATATTTATTTGTATTAGTTTTAAAAATGTAATCATTGCATTAATATGTATTAATAAAATACAGAGAAATACCAATAAAATCAATTATAGCAAGTTATACTGTATGACTTCAGTAGAAAAGAAAGAAAGAAAGAAAGAAAGAAAGAAAGAAAGAAAGAAAGAAAGAAAGAAAGAAAGAAAGAAAGAAAGAAAGAAAGAAAGAAAGAAAGAAAGAAAGAAAGAAAGAAAGAAAGAAAGAAAGAAAGAAAGAAAGAAAGAAAGAAAGAAATTAAGCTCTAGTACTGTATAGCTATAGAAAATCCTCACATTATTCAAAATGTCATGTTTTTGGAAGCAAGTCTTGCTGGTTTGGAACAACATGAATAAATAACAGTATGACAAAAATGATTAAATCAAATCCATTTTTGGGTGAACTACTACTTTAATGTTCTAAGTGAAAATCAAGAGATCAGCAAAACCAGTTTAACGCAGCAAATTATAAGTATACTTTATTTTAATTATGGAATTGGTAATATTTTACCATGTCCTATCTGATGCAGATGTTGGTACATATGAAGAGTTCAGATGCAAAAGCCTCTAAGTGCCATTTGAAATTTTATTCTAGAATGACCATTTTTATCAAGCTTGTGTATTTAAGTTCAGTCATTTCACTTAAATGACAATTCATAGGTAATCTTCATTGTCATTTAAGTGAAATTACTGAACTTAAATATACAAGCTTGATAAAAATGATCATTTTAGAAGAAAATTTCAAATGGCACTTAGAGGCTTTTGCATCTGAACTCTTCATATATTCTCTTATAGCCTGTAATGCTGGCTTTCAAAGCCAGAGACTTCAACAAAAAACTGAAGTGTTTTGCTGCTTTTGCTATATAAAATGCCTCTTCTCAGCTTTGTATCCCAACATCTTGAATGCAACCCATTACGATGCATCTTGAATGGGTCAAGAGGCTCTTCACATTCCACTCAAGGCATCACTGTGACCATGGCAACTATAGTACAAGTAGCCTATCTACATGATCAGAGCCAATAATTTCCCTCTACAGCAATAAACCGTGCTGGAATCAGCTGCCTGAGCAGGTGGCAT